GGGGGGGGGGGGGGGGAAGGGGGGCTATAGCCCCCCCTAAATCCATCCCTGGCTCCGACGTTGCGTAGAGTGAGATGCTGGTGCTGTGTGTAGAGGTGCTACACGATGCATCACCGTAATACCTCTGATCCATCCAATGACCATGCATGCGGTGGCCCTTCGTGCTGATGCACTAGTTGTTTTCGAGAATCGAATAGAGAAAAGAAATGGTTGATTTTTCGACTACGGGGAGAGCAAATATAAAGATGAACGATCACACTATTTAAGGAGTGAAGATGGTGAGGTGGGTGAGGTGTGTTATTACTTATTAGTAATATCTTTATTTAATACATATTAAATAACTAATTATAACTTGAATTTTAATAGAAAACTTAAAATATGATTTATGAAATGTAGATAACTAATTATAATCTGAATTAGTTCTTGCCCCAATTGGATTAGGTTTTTACTAAGTGAAAATTTCATATCTAAGAGATTAAGTAAGTTCAATTTCAAAATTAAGAAATAAGGTTTAAAACTTCAAAAATTAGATATTAATTAAAATTTATTTATTAAATAAATAATTAAATATATTAAGGTCATAATTTTATACTATTTGATAACAAATTATCAAATTAATTGATCACAAATTATTTCTCGGTCATGAATAAAAAATTATATAGATCACAAATTATTTCACGATTACAAATAAAAAATTTTACAGGTCATAATTTATTTATCGGTACAAATCAAAAAATTTATAGGTTACAATTTATTTATTAATCACAATTCACAAATTTATAAGTCACAACTCAAATTTTTACGTCACATATTATTTATTTGTCATAAGTTATAGGTTACATAATATTTATTGGTCACAAAATATCCAATTTATTGTCACAATCTCAAATAATTGGTTACATATTATTTATTGCTTACAATTAATAAAATAATTAGTCACAAACACTCCTACCTCACGCCATCACATTCACCATCACCATCGCCTATATTGCCAAATTGTCACCACCGCTAGCACCCCCACATGCAGCACCAACAAAAACTACCCCAAATCCCAAGAACACCAAAATATGGAAATCACCACCACCACCACAACCACCGCTCCAACAACCAAAACCAAAACCAACACCTCACTTCCACCGCCATCGCCATCGCAATATCCACTACCATTTGTACCAACCACCTATAGCACCACAATCACTACCTATACTACCACCAGCGCAACCCACCACTGCACCATTGCCGACCAAGGGTCTCCCCACCGTCAAGGTCCCTAGCTTTGCTCTATCAATTTCACCTCCAACTGCTATGAATTACCGAGCTGCACCATAGAGCCCCTACCGAATGCAGTAACAGTAACGGCAATGATGTTGTGTGGCGCTCACATCAAGCAGGGTTACGTAGCGATGATGATATAGCTGCGTAGCGACACTCGAAGAGGGTCTCCGATGACGGGCCCTTCCCGATTACGACGATGGTCTAAGGGAGAGGGTAGAGAGAGATGAGAGGCGAAGATAGAAGATGAGAGAAGAGGAGAGAAAATGATTTAAGGTTTGAATTAGGTGGATGGAGTGGGACGTGTTTATATAAATTAATTTATAATATTATTATTAATATTAAAATATTTATTTATAATATTTGAATTAATATCTGATTTTGTATAAATAAACTTTAGATTCGATTTATTAAGTTGGATTTTAAAAACTCTGGTTGAGTGTAATTTCAGCATTTACTAATCTAATTGAATTAAGGTTCAAGAAAGCCTATGAAAACACCATTTATGTTTATGATTTTACCACGCTTTATCTTTATTTTTTGCTAACGCTAGAAAATGTGAAAAAT